TGCTTATAGGCTAAAAAGGCATGTATGCATCAAGAAACAAGGAAGACACTGTCATAACAAATATGAATAGAACCAATATACAGAGCTTCAAGTATTACGAGCTGGCGTTTCAGCAGTGATGCAGGCATTACGGAATCCGGGGATTGAAGAACCCTACATAATATATTAAAAAATCTACAGTGAATTCACTACCACCAATATTCTCCATAAGTGAAGCGACATAATCCAAATAAAATATTGTGTAAGGCAGGGAGAAGAGATCTCACCAATGCTGATCACCGCGCGTTTACAGGAGGTCTTCAGGACCCTAGATTGGTAAGAGTTCGGGATAAAATTTCATTAAAGGAGAGTATGTAAGTAACCTGCCATTCGCGGAAGGCCTTACTTTGATGAGTAACTCTGGGGACCAATCACAGCTCACGACTAAAAAACTGGACACGGAAAACAGAAAAGTAGGCCTGAAAATATTATGCATGGAACCAAAGTATCAGTGTGTAGTAGTAGTTACGTTCCGTTTTGATTCTTTCCCCTCGCCTCTCACTTGTTGCGCGACATTTGCTGCTGCCGCCAAGGAAGCCGAAGACGAGAACTTTTCATCTGCTGGCACCTTGAGGAAACGACCACTCCGACATCATCTGGATATAGAGACGTTTATTCGTTTCTTTTTTTCTGTCCCTGCACCCCTGGTTTTATTCCCTGTCTCCCCATTCAACCACTCTTACAGTCCAATCGTAACGTACCACTATTACAGTCCAATCGGAACGCACGGATGTGTCTCTTCTCGCCACAACCTCGAAGACCCACCGCCTCTTGCCCACTCATCGGTTCTCCGCCGTCGCTCAGGTTTCTTTCACCCCGGTTCCCGGAATGATCGACGACGGACGTTGCCGGGTCGTGGAAAAGCGCCTCCGAGTAAGTTCCCGCGATGCCGGGCTAACAGGCCATCAATCAAAATTGCCCGTGCACCAATGCCATCGCCTCCGCTGATTCTGGTTGTCCGGCGGACGCGCACGTGTACCTTCCATCCTTGCAGCCTGGCCCGGTCACCTGCAGCCTGGCTTGGTCTCCTGTAAGGCGCCATAATTGAACCCCTTGGGGCACGGTAGTTGTCGCGTGCTTTGTGGCCAGCAGACAGTCATCGTCCCGCATTCCGGTGGCCCTGCTTCCTTGTTGGCGAGGGGTCGCCGGCCTTAGGGGGGGGGTAACATAAAGTATTCGGGGAACGCACGAAGTTCGAGCCCAACAGTAGTCTTGCCAGAAAAAAACGCTTTAGAATAAGTGAAATGTCGTTGGTATTGGTAAAGTAATATGTCTATTTAGGAGAGGTGGAGCCGAACCTTGAGAGTGAAGTAACTATAAGAATAAAAATGGGGTGGATCACATTCAGAAAGCATTCTCAAATTATTATTAGTAATCTACCATTGATCCTCAAGATATATAACAGCTGCATCTTGCCAGTACTTACCTACGGTTCAGAAATCTGGATGGTTAAAAAGAGGGTTCCGCTTAAATATAGGGCGACGCAGAGAGCGAATGGTGGGAAAATGATAGGAGTGACCCTAAGAGACAAGAAGAGAGCAGAGTAGGCCTATGAACAAACCGGGGTTGAAGATATCACAGTTGAAATCAACAAATTGTAATGGGCCATGCACGTAGCGCGTAGGCAAGATGACCGCTGCCCATTAGGAGTAAATGACAGGATTCCTCCAGAAGGCAAACGCATGAAGAGAAAACAGAAGGTTAGTTGGACCGTGCAGATTAAAAAATTTGCAGGCATAAAGTGGAAGCAGAAAGGACAAGACCGGGTTGATTGGCGGATCATGGGAGGGGTCTTAACACTGCAGTGTGCGCAGCCAGGCTGGTGATTTTGAGGATGCTGATGGTGACGATGATGGTAGTGATAACGTTTATATACTCTACCAATGGAATAGATTAATTACGGCCACCATAACTCAGGGGTAGAGCATTTAACGCATTATTCGAAGGTCGCAGATTCGGTCTCTTCAGGCGGCCAGTTGTTTTTTGGTCTTTTCTTTCTTCAGATAACACCCCTTCTTTCTTTCGTCCGAATTTCTTTCTACTGATAACACCGCCATATTTTTTGGCATCATGGTCTTTTAGTTGCCAATAATATTGTACTTAACAAAGAAAGTGAGCCCTTAAATTTGCAGTTTTCATAATATAACTAATTAATGTCTCACGTTGAAGGATTTCACGTGATCTTTGTTTACGTTTTCAAGGCATAACATTTCCCTCTCTCATTAGCTTTTCTGGTTCTTCCTAATGATGCTAACGTTATACGAGGCACCTATTTTGACAGCACTGTGAAAGCTACAGAACCTAAGCACGTGCCTGCTGCGTAAAAATATCACTGAAGTTTACTCAAAATATTTTGTTTGAGCTTGGTGAAGCTAATGCTGCTAGAATTTTATAGTCGAGCGTGAAAAATTTGTGGGAAATTGCGGGTAAATTACAGGCATTATTATAATTCAATGATGCCCTCCTTTCTTTTTCATCTCTTAGACAGTGCCCCATTTTTAGCACGTCAGTTTTTCAAACTGAACATGGCGTCCATTATGTAGTGTGTAAGTGTGCGGCCACGCAGTTGCCGTTCATTTCGCCAAGCGAAAATTTGTTCAGTACTGTGTGATTCGTGATGCTTCATAATATGACACTAAGATATACAGTCTGTTACGCACTTAGGGGAAATCTCGTAGCGCGTTGCCTCGCGATGTGGCCTGCGCGGCAGTCGCGTACCAACAGCAAGTCGCGCGCGCGCAGACGTTAGAGGGCCATTGTGTTGAACGGTTCTACCACATCGTTGGCTATAAGGTGTTGAGCGCTGGCCACATTGTCAGGCAGCGGACGAATGTCATCGTTGCCGCGTGAGCTGGGCCAACATTTCTCATTGTGTCACAATACGCCTTACTACCTTCCTAAATGAGCGCAGTCATCGATGCCACCGGGGACTTGCCGGGGTGTTAGGTCAAGTTTGAAGTTTTGCGCGTGCATTTTGGCGCTGGCGAGTGAGTGCGACTTCAAGTAATGAAATGCCATCGAAGCACCTTGAGGTCGTTCTTTTAGTCGGCAGCATTCCTGAGCTTGATCTCGTTTGTTTTATTGAGCTAAACCCGCATAGCGTCATGGCAGTCTCTGTAGAGTGCTTCTTTTTCGTTTTTTTTCTTTAACGTAGAATAAATACCACGCCTGGTAGGTGCTCATTCGGGTATTCCCGCCGCAGCGTACTGAGGTTCACACACAACGAAAAATATATACTAGAGCACCGCCAGCATCATGACATTTGGAAAGAGCAAAGAACGTATGCTTTCAAACTCTGTAGAACCTCTTTATCACCCATGAAGGCTGACAGGTTGATATCGTACAACGTTTACTACAAATATCGGCATCTATAGTTCCCGTAGCGACGATTAATTCAGCAGGTTGCCCCACACTGTGGCCAGCGCTCACCGTCATCACAGACGATGCTGTTCAACAGGATGTTCTACAAGCGTGGGCACTTGCGCGAGCTGCTGCCGGCGCACGACTGCAGCGCTAGCTACACCATGATCCCGTGAACTCCAAGATAAGTTTTAAACACACTGCCGCCTGCTAGCGTCTCGTGCCAGTCCATGAAGAAACCCGCAAAACTTTCTTTCTCCTCCCCTTTTCTCGCCTCGCATAGCTGACACAGGCATCATCTGCTAGTAAAATATGAACCATCTCCCTGAAGTAAACTCTGAAGGGATGCGAAGCAGCAGTAATACGTACGGCGTTGACATGGTTGAAAGGGTGTCGGTGCGGGTGCTCAAAGAACAGTTTGAAATCAAACTCGGTGTAACGTTTACTCGAGTAAATGTTTATTTGAAACACAGACACGGGAGCCAGTATGGGTCTCATGTAAGTTTCATCGCAGATGAACTGAGAGCTGAAAGAGAAGACAGAATTAGTTGTGCGTCCGCAGCAGCCGTACGAACGGCTGGCAGGCTGCGTCTGTACGGCTGCTGTAAACGGGCAACTAAATATGTTAGTGTTTCCACTAGGCGTGCGGTGAAGCGCTGCGGGTGGTGGAGAGGGTGGAGCGAGAGAGAAGTGTGTTTCGAGCGGGCGGAGGGACGGGCAGCTGCTGCGGGAGAGAGTAACGTCAACGCGCAGCCGCGACCTTTTCACTGACCACCCCGTATATGAAGGCACCGGATCACGCGTAAGCAATTCAGTCAAGCGCGTCTTTACTTGGCTTTCACTTGACGTTGAAGGCAGCGCTCCTCGTTCATGAAATAAGTTGAAACAATAAAGAACGAAATAAAAATCAGGCGTTCCCAAGCCATACGCAAATACGCAACGCTCACGTGATATCCCCGTAACTCCTCGACGCCCTTACTCGAGTTCTCGCCGTGGGAAAATGTCGGTAGATTTGTTTGTCCATTATATTATAAACGCATTAACATTGCGAGTGAATAAAATCATACTCAGCCACAGGCATGTTGGTCCACAAGTTTTGTGGACCAACATGACTTTGCGGAAGCCCCGCCTTCGTTACCTTAGCTCCACTATCGAGATCCAATACAGTTTGCTATCCGGCTACTTGGTTCAACAATATTCTTGCTTAGGAGACTGAAGGTTTTCTTGGAAAAAGAACACGTGGCAGAAAGAAGGCTTCTTGCTACGCTCTTATGAGTGTTATTTTCGTGGTGTTTTACCCCCGTAATCTAGAACGTCCCTTCGCTCAACGCTTCACCTTCACTTGAGAAAGCCGACGGGAGCGCCGTATCTAGGCACGGCAGGTCATTACATATCAGCGATATTCTGCTGCGATTCAGGAGTAGCGCAGCGTCATCTTCAGTCGAGTGGTGGCGCAGTGCTCAACTCTGACAAGTGAAAGCTGAAAGTCGAGCCGAGGAGTGTTTGTGAATACGGGGGTTAGTTTCCCAAGGTAATCTGCACTCCCCTATAAAATTACCTGAAGATTTGTTGTCGAAGAGTACAGCAGCCTATTTTTGCAGGTCGAGCTAGCCATCCTGCAGATTTCGGGCATGCAGCGAGGTTTGACTGGAGCAACAAGCATTCGCTACGACCCGCATGAATTACCCACCGACTTCGAAAGGCTGGTGTAAGTTGAGCTCCTTTTTTCCGCATCAAAAGTGATGGCTTGCCCCAAACGATTGTCGAAAGATTTTAAATGCGAATGCATTTATTAATCAGCAGATGTCAGGCATCTGGCGGCATCCGCGAACCCGCAGTTGTTGACTTTCCGCTCTCACTCCCTCTCACATAGCAGCCTCTGCGGGCGCGTGCGCTTATCCTCGCACATAGCAACCAGACCAGGTGCTGCGGGAGGAGTGGTGGAGAGTATGTGGATAGGAGGAGCGCACTCTAGACCCTGACCTCCATCAGCGGCTGTGGCATGTGAGAGCGCTCGCATCGTGGGAGCTCAGTGGAGCTCACTCATATGTAGGGGCCGTGCAGGAGAGGGCAAGTGCAGTGCTTCACCTCTCCTACTCTCGCCGTTCACTCTTTCTCCTCCCAGCGCCCTCATTTCCCGTCCACTCGCTCACACGTATATATAAATATGTGAGACGCACGCCTCACTCTTAACTCCTCACTGGCTGATAAATGTGGAAATAAATAGTTGCGGTACAAGTCCTCGTCTTGTGATTTTTACGCCATTAAAATTACTATGCATTGTACTGTCCACGCAAGAAATGCATGCGCATTTGCTTACGACTTTCTTAGGGGAGGCGTGGTCAATTTCTTAACATGAAAGAGTTTTATGCCTGGGTCCAGCAATATTTCTGTGATTGATTTTCGTGACGGGTAAAAGAAATTTTAAAATGAAAAGAGAAGGTTTTGTTAACTGGGGTCGAACCCACAACACCTCGGTAGGCGACAACAGATGCGCGGCTCTCTGACCACTGCGCCACGGTAACTTTTTTTTCAGTGACTACGCCCCAGCTAGATACAGTGTACGCTTGAAATATACGCATTTTATATATACCTGTGCTCTAGCAGTTCTCTTCGTAATGTGTCATAGCGCATAATGACGGTGAAATCTACGACTAGTTATCTTCAACGCGTCGTTTCTACGCATCCATCCTGTTCGGTGCCTCTCAAATAGAAGTGTCATTTTTTTCGGCACTTTCAAGTACAGCCAGGTGGCAACCATTGCAAGAATCAAGCACGCCCTCACCTTTGGCGCCTCGCTTATTCAGCTTGTGTGATTGGTGACCGCATCTGGCACCAGTGCCGGGAGCGTGGTCACCATGGGTTCGCCGCCAAGCTAATTAGTCTGGGGCGAGCCGTGCTTCGGTTTTCCCTGCAAAGAGACACAAGTTCTAACAGGCCCGGACGACGCCTCTTCCTCGCGCTACGCCAGCACACATCACGATGCTCCGCTGATCCTCATTGGCCACCCGTGACACCCCTTTCCTGGTAGCTTGTATTCGCTAGGCACTGGCCCACCGCCGGGGACATTCACAGGCGCTACGCTATGCTCCCTACCGGTTAGGTGAACCTAAAAGGAATGGCTCAACCCACTACGGGGGATCGGCTATGAATCGCCTGGCAGTGGGATTTTGATGAAAAAAAAGGAGGCGGGCGCCTTTTTTTCTTCTAACCATTATACCTCCACCAAATTTACGAAGGCCTGCACGAGATGTAGACGCGCTGCTTTAGCAGGCGGCTTTTCGCACGTGCACTCCGCTGCCACCCTTTGTCTGTTAGTCCTAGCGCCTGCCGGCAAGCGGAAACTTGGTCGGTCTTGTAAAGTTTCCAGCTGGCTCGCAAGCCTGTGATTGTTGCACTTTGCTTTATCTTTGGTAAATAAACCCCTGTTGGTTGAAAGCCTGCCTCTAGGGCCATATTTGCGCGGTGTTGGAGAGTCGACAAACCCGGCCTTAGAGTCGTTATGTGCGATGGTAGTGGAGATCACCATGTTCCTTCCCGGTACTTCGTAGGGTAAGCCTTTAGCAAACCTATCTCCACACCTCACCCAAACCACCGGCATGGCTCATAGCATTCATCGATACCAGCAATAGTTCTGCGAAGCATATAGTAACGTGCTTGCTTCGCGAGCATGTACCTTCGCGTTCTCCGCTAATAATAGTCACGCGGGATATTATGGCTTGCCAAGACGGAAGACTCAACGCGCGTTCCGTTTCCCTCTAATCAGGCAGTGGCATTCAATAATTCTAACATGCCGTGAGTAGGTGACCTTAGCCCTAGTTTGGCGTACAATCAGTCGCGCTCTTCAGCTGTCACACCACTTTCTTTGGTTGCACTACCAGTAACTACCAGAGTAAATAAATTACCACAGACATCCATGCCCACAAGAGCATGTTTAAAATTTAGTCGTCTCGATGAGGATATACCGTTGATCATGAGTATCGATGCATTCACGGAAAAACGCTGGTTTAATTTACTTGTCTGTCAACAAGAAACATTGCATGAGCTTAAGCTATCTTTTATCAATGTACATTTCACACTACGCAACTGCTGTAAGCAGACGGTTCACTTTCGTGCTAACCGATTTAGGACAGAAAATAAACCGTGTTTTTTTTTTCATCAATCGAAAAATGTAGTGAAGCGTTGGTCGCAGTAAGGCATTCTAAAGGCTGGTGTTAAGATCTTGGCTTGGTGGATGCTGGAATCAATGGTGGATATTGTGGAAATATTAGTGGATATAATGGAAACTGTAGTGGGCATAATAGCTGATGACGGCGAGAGTGGAAAAATGACGACAGATGGTGGTGGTGGTGGCGAGCCAGTGGTGCTGACGGTGGAAAATGTCGGCTGATGGTGGCGAGGCAAAACGTGTTTGGTGAAAGGCTCAGTGAGCAAGGTGGATGACGGTGGCAAGATGGAAATTTGGGGAATGATGATGGCATGATGAAAAAGCACATGACAGTATGTGAAATCACGTATTTGTAGCGGTTCATTCTTGAATGCGCAAAGATACATGTTTACGGTCAAAAGAAACCAACGCTGCTCATTACACTTTTTAGCACGTTTATTTTTTTGTTCCTGTGGTGTCAACAGCGCTTGAATTTTTGTGGAGCGTAAGCGGTCGTGAGTAAGTTTGCATTTCGCGCACGTAATTACAGCAGTTTGACATCGGTGACGTGTTTTTAGGGGCGAAGATTCTTATAGCGGCACCCGTTCGTCCCTCGTAGTCGTAGTAGTAGTGGGTAACCTGTCTTACATTTTGACGTCCAAGGTGGTGCTGGTGGGAGATTTTTTCTGTGCGTTGTTGTACAATAAAAAATTCGCAGCGTGCGCGTTAAATAAAAGCCGAATTGTCTTGTCTCTCATTCCCTCTTAGCAGCCATTGACATGTACATTGAACACTATCTGAAAAGAAAGGGTTGCTACGTTATACTCGCTGAGCGTAACCTCCTTGGTTTTAGAAAGGTTTAGCGAGTGTTGGGCCACAGTGCCATGAATACAGTAAACTAGTATATACCATGAACTCGAGGTGGTTAAAGGTGGGAAGTAGAAACGAAGCGCAAGCCGTAAGAAAGTGTGCGTGTGCCTCCTCTCGTTCAGTCCTTGGAATGCGCGCTGCATGACGGTACTTCTATATGAGGAATATATGATGAAAAGATGTGAGATAGTAGGACTTGGAGTGTTGTATAGGTGGACGAAAGGACACACAGACATATGCATGGACGGACGCACAGCTGGCTGCACGAACGGATGGACGCATGGACGGATGCAGGAGCGAATGCATGGACGAACGCAGGGACGGACGCACAGATGGACGTGCGGACGCACGAACAGACGCAGCACGGACGGGCGAATGGATGCTTGGGCGGCCACACAGACGGACGCATGGATGAATGGAAGCAAGAACGAATGGAGGGACGGATGCTTCACTTCACTCTCCATCATTCACTCCGTCGATATGCTGCCGTTTTTTTCGTTATGATGTTGAGAAGACTAGTTGTGTCACTGTGAACAGTGACAATAAATATTTTACATCGGCACGCAGATGTCAAGAAATAAATGAGCTCCAGTACGCTATTGCCTGTTTTAATGTTAGAGCAGAACACAGCGGTCACTTGATGTCGCCACGAAAGAAACGCAAATCTGGCAATTCTTACACACTCTATCGCGTGAGCCGTACTTTCGAGTTAACAAAGTGCGCGTGAATATGCATAGAATTTCACTTTCTACATGCGTCGAGACGAGCCCCAATGAATTTGACTTTCACCCCCTCTGTTCTACCACCATGATTTCCACCAAAGGTTTGTAGTACCGACCGAGCCCGTACAAGTATTTTTGGTGCTTCTGGGTTTCAAAATACACAATTTTTGACGAGTAAAATGACAATACAGCACCGCTGTGGCATTATTAAACCTAAATGAAGCATTTTTTATTGTGTCTGCTGTCCGCGAAATCAGCGACAAACATCGATGGGACGCGTTTGCAGCACTTCCACCAAATGTATGCCTCCCCTCACCAACAGCCGCCGGTCGGACTCGCCGACATTTCATTGGCTCTCATGTGAGAACACAGACTCCTCAATTCGTATGTTTACTGAACCAATATGATAGCATAATGTTTCTAGCGCACTGCATTCGTGTTGGCCAAGCCGTTATGTAGTTGTTGCTAACGACAGAGCAACAGTGGCGCGCTGGCATGACTGCGCTGTGCGTTGCACAAAAACATCACTATCAATTGGTGGGCGTAACTATCGAATGAGCATTAAAGCGTCATAAAGCCTGAACAGATATCGCACTTTGGAAGGAGCAAGAAACGGATAATAATCTTGGCAGCAACTGCCGGTAAACTCTACCTGCTCCTCAGTCCACTGAGTTGTTCTTTTTTCTTGTGGTTGTAAATTGTAACAAAAACATAGCGCTCTTGCCATTATCGCAGTGGCAATCGTTACAGGCAGCAGTTGTTCGTGTTTATCAAGTGTGCAAATCTTAGTAGCAGGTGCAGATCCCGTTCATCTTGAGTAAGCGATAAACTGAAGTTAAACGGTGACTTTGTAACCTCACTACTTCATTAACACCGAAACTAAAATCTGGTGGCGTGGCGCAGTGGTCATTGTGCTCAGTTATAACTCCGAAGAAGGCAGGTTCGACTCGGCACTGTGGTACTTTTTTTACGG